CCCCGCAAACACGGCGGTTTTGGTTTTTCGATTTCTATCTCCTGAGGGTTACAGAAGCGGTGGCCCCGTGAATGTGATGACGGGACGGGGCTGTTGATAAGGCTGTTCGTGGTTGCAGATGCGGTCGTCGCGATGGGGGCGAGTAGCCGAGGATGTGGTTCGGGGAAGGAGAATACGTGTTTCAAGGTAATGAGGTTTTTCTTTGTGTGTAGACGAGGCCCGAGGTGATGGACCTTGGCCTAGCATTGAGGAGGAGTCATGGGGCCATGAAGGTATGCAGCCGAGGGAGGCGAGTGGTGCGATGGTCGCAGGTGTGGCGATAAAGACGCTGGTGGTATCGTTGTGACATGGAAGCAAACGTGACGGCGACCAAAGACGTCGTAGTAGTAATATCGATTCCACTAGATAGTAAGAACAACAAAAAACACAAAGAATCTACTCCGCCATAATATGCCCCAAAGCAATCATGCAACATGTACATCGTCCCTCCCAAATTGCCCCAGTATGATTGACAGAAATACACAAAGGTATCAGAAACTCCAAAAGCGCCGAGCCCGGAACACCGACGCTTATCCGTGTGCGTAGAGAATGCGTAGTTTTGCGTGAAAGAACGATAGAGATGAGAGCGAAGCTGTGGTAAAGAGATGATCATACGCGTATTTGACCAAGCTCGATCTCGCGCCTCCGTTCTTCGCGGCTGAGGTTGCGCGAGTGACTGCCTCTCCCCTCTGTACTGGAAGGGCGGTTCTCGCTTCGTCCGCGGCCATATTGTGTCCACTGTTCGCTAAGACTATCGGGTCTGCTGTCTGATCGGTCGCGGCCCCAATCGCCATGTGTTTGCGCGGGTGTGCCCACCAACTCCTGACTGCGCTGATGCCTTGCCTGTTGTTCCCTGTCTTCTGGCAGGTCTATCCTGAACGTGCTGTTGGCGTCGGGACTCGGTCGCGGGTCTCCTTGTTTGTGGAGGAGGAGAGCCATTTGCTGGTTCACGCGGTCGTCTTCGGAGTACAGGGCGGCGGGTGGCTGGGAGGGCGAGCGCATGGCGGTGGGGTACATGTTTGGGATGAAGTTGTTGTAGTAGTTTTGGTCGGACCAGAGGTTCTGGCGTGTGTCGGTTTGTCGCTTGGACTTGACTATGCGGCGGTATGTCCAGAGGAGGAGGGAGCTGTAGAGGATTGTTCCGGCGGCGCTGATGACGGTACCGCTAATGGCGGCATTTCCCCAGTGGTAGTTGGGCGAGGAGACGAAGTTGTAGGCTATCGAGATAAGGCCGAGTGCGGAAGATGTGAGCGCAGGTCTGCACATGTGGTTAGTATTCCGCTGTTGGTGGAGGCATGGAGGCCTTACAGGAAGACGCCGTCGGCTTGGAAGCGCTCATTGCGACAGGCGAAGCAGAGCAGTGCTGTGAATGAGTAGCCGGCTGTAAGGAGCGCGACAACAAAGACGGATAGGACTGCTCGGCTGAACTTGAGCTCGTATGTTTCTCTGTAGAGGCCGGGCAGTATGAGGTAGCTTCGAGGCGTTAGCATGCTTTCGTCTGAGCCGCCTCGAGACGCATCGCAAACACTCACCCTCCGAGTATCATCCATGACGCAGCCAGAGCTATAAGGCGCCAGTACCACGGCGTGCCCTCTCTCTTCTCATGGCCCGACTCGCTGATGTTGTGATAGCTCTTGTTGCTAGAGCGCATTGAGTCGGTGGTTCGCGCCTTGCGCGGCGGGGTGCCTGGTTCGCGTCTCGGGTAGTGCCTGGCGTCTCTGCTATGACTCTCGCGCAGTGGGAGCGAGCAACCAAGCAGACGTCGGCATGCAGAGCAGAAGCGCGTGAATGAATAAACGAGTGACTGTGGCAAACGTCGAGTCTAGGTATTGTCGAATTCCGAATGCGATATGAGCCTCACTGGCGCCTGGCTCGCTGCTATTCAGCCTGACGCGGTGCAGATCGCTTCGGTCCGTTAAGTGCAGGTGGATAGCCGGGGCGAGGCGGCAGGTGCACGGCGCAATGGTTCCAGCTGGTGGGAAAAACAACAACGAGCGGCCAGAACAAGATGCCGTTCGTTCTTATTGAATAGCAACAAGAGCAGAGCAGTAGCGAGCGAAGACGTGGGCTGAACGGGCGGTGGGAGAAGAGGGCGCCAACGTGCTCGTACTTCGCTGAGGCGGAGGACGCCTGCATGCCCGCTCAGCCACTCGACGTCCTGCTGAGCATTGCTGCACCCCTGCCGACATGCCCCCCGTAGATCAAGATGGCAGTGAGCATCTTCAATGCAGTGCATTTGACATCGCAATAAAGACTTGCTTGTTGATCAGCGGCTGGGCCTCTCGTCGCGACCATCGCGACTTCTTCCGACACTCCAACAACACCATGAATCAAGGCTTCCAGCCCGCGACTCCGCTTCTCTTTGTCTCTCCCGCCTGCCCAGGGCGACCCCAGATTCCAGAACGCGTCACCTCCAATTCCCAGCCAAGCCCTCTGCCCATGTCTGCTCAATCTCGCTGACCCGCGCCGCACCTTGGGTAGTGCAGCTTACTCTATGAGCCACCGCTCCTTCTCTGATTTGCCTGCTTCCATCCTTCACTTTCCCTTCTGTTGCAGCGCTAGCGACTCTGTGCTCTCCGGTAGGCACTGTTGCCGGTCAGACATGACGTCGTCCCTCCTATCGCAATGGGAAATGTTGCGACCTCATCGTTGACCTTTTGTCATGGTGTTGCGAGCTGTTGGCGGTATGAGTCGGGGTCATGGCACGGGCAGTCTGCCTGGGTTGGTGTCTACGCGGTTCCGCCTACAATAGAACAAGTCGAACGGCACAGCGTCAGACTATTGATCTTGACCAGAAGCGCATCGCTTCTGGACTCTGTTATATTACAGGACGCTCTCTCGCAGATTTGAGAGATTCACACACGTCGAGTATAGCAACTTTAGGCCTACAGCCCATTGCATAGCCTCGTGCACGTAGTAACCCAGCGCTACATCGTGGCATAGTACAATATCACACGCCACGAGAATGCTGTTCCACGCCGATAGGATACGGCATGAGCCGAAGGTTCAGCCTTCACGATACCCGGATTATGGTGACGGACATGCGCGAATGGGCGTCAACACTGCCTTTTCTGGCAAACATCTTGTGCGCGCTCCCCATCTAGGCAGATTTGATACATCTACATATTCATCCTGCGATGAGAATACACTGCATCTTTCGTGACTCAACTTGAATTCATATCACGATGGAGTGTTCCTTCAATCGCCGTTCTACACAATACAGGTATGCGTATGTGACAAGATGCGGTATCATTCGCGATGCTGATCCGCGCACCTGGTTCAAGCTGCAGGGGCAGCTTCCAGTGCCTCACATGGGCATGCGTGTCATCGGTAGAACCACACCGCATCTTAACTTGATCACTCATCAGGTCCGCGATCTCACTGCCTGAAGATTCGGGATCGTTTCGTTCGGGGTCTCCATTGAGAGACCCGTCGGCGCTTCGGGTTCAGGGGCAAGGCACTTGCGTTGATGTCGGGTATTCCGAGGAACAATTGACATGAATAAGACGTAATGATTGGAGCAGGCACCGGGCATCAATCTTGTCGTTGTTGTGATGTTTATGGGTGTTTGTCACGGTTCGTGAGTGCCGAGGATTTGGGGCTGGGAATGCAGGTGCCACCGGTCCGGTTTATGCCCCACCTGTAAGCGGGAACCACGTCTTCTTTTCCATTCCATTCGTTCTTCAAGGCATAAGTACAGCGCGACGCTGGAGGCACACAACTTAATTCTACGCTATATTTTACACTATCAGAGACACTCCCATCGATCTACCTACTCAACCATTCGGTTGATCAATCTTCAGTAGTATAGTGGTCAGTATTTCCGCTTGTCACCTATCAGGCAACTCGCGGGAGACCGGGGTTCAATTCCCCGCTGGAGAGCTTATTCTTTTTGCTTTTGCTTTTGCCTGTATGCATTATAGGGTCGTCCCTGGGTCAATCGGTATGGGAGTCGGTGTTGGCCCGCTACCTCCAAACCTCAACCACCCCAACTCCCCACTCTGCCGGTCATTGCAACACAAAGGCCGCCTTGTATTTTTTCAAACATTGACACCGCTGTCTGAAGATGCTATCGAGGCTGAGAGTACTTTTGCAGCGCACGCTGTAACTCGGCATGCCACATTTTGCTGCGCCGTGCTAACAAATGCCACCGCTTCTGGTCAGCTTCCTTGACGCAATTGACTCCTCGTGTCATCATCTCGTCGGCGCATCGACCTACGCAAATTGAATCGAATGCTACTATTGTCAGGGTTGGACGCGACGAAGCTTTTCTGAAGCTTCGTAGGCCTCGTCAGCTGCATCTGGTCTTCCATGTGGAGGAACCTCTGATCACACACCCGGCACATAGTTCGATCTACCGCACGCTGTACGGCATATCTCCGATTTAATGCGGGTTCCATTCCTCTCCGAAGCATCATCAGACTTAGCCTCTGAAAGTCCGACTCAATGTTGAATAGTCTCTACCAGCGCAAAGAGGGTTACATGTGACCGGAGATGTCGCCTGCTGCAAATGTACCTGATAGCTACGGACCAATTCACCATCACGCAGGTCGTCGCTCGGCTCTTTAGTGAAAGGTATGACCCATTACTTGTTTAATTGCCAGGGCGTAACTGGGTCACGGGGCAGCCCTCTGTGAGTGCCTCAAGCACGAGCTCCATTCACGCTTGGTCTGAGCTTTTAGCGGAGCCTTGCACGCCCGTCCCATATAAACACCCCCTTTTGGTGAGCAACTCTCACTATACCAGCTCTCTCCTCAACTTCCATACGGGCAGATCTGAGCAATACCTTTATCCCCACCCATACGGTTCAACTGGTTCGTTTCACACTAAACCCACAATCTTGAACTACCTACTCACCTGTTTCAGATACCTTTGTTCAAAAGTCTGCCCAACCCATCCCTATTCAGCCGCATACGAACAGACTCCAAAGATTTGAACTAGTCACGTACGCAGTCAACAAGATGTCTGCTACTAACACCACCACTGGTGCATCCGATGCCGTCGCCACTGACAGCACCAACACCAAAACTTCCGTTGATCTCGCCAAACAAGAAGCTCTTCAGAAGATAGCCTCCGAGAACGAAGCCAAGCGCACTGAACAGGTTGCCATCCAGAGGCGGAAGTCCGAAATGGCCAAGAACAAGGCCGCGCAAGAGTTGGCATCCAAGGGCAAGAACGCGATTCTCAAGGCCCAGCCTAACCGACCTACACGTCGGCCTGTGAAGAAGAACCGAAAGCCGCTTCCACCTCCTACCAATCGGACTCGCGATATTGAAGCGGCTATGGAGAAGACGAAAGCTAGCGCTGAAGAGAAACGTCTTGCGCCCCTGCGGGTTGTTCGCCCAAGCTACAGCTACAGCGACATCGTCGAGCAGCGCGTCGTCGACGGTGTCGTTGAGCGCATTGTGCATACCAGCCATCCCGTGCAGCAATCTTGTTCCGCTCACGATCACGAAGACAGCATCGAACAGCACGTGGTCGACAACGTCACTGATCCTATACCTGAGTCCGTTGGTGCGGCCGAGACTATTCACTCTGACACCGACGTTGAGTTAGATAGGGCCACGGAACCCGATACTTGTTCAGAAGATGACGCTCCTCAGCTAGTTCAAGAGCTTGCCTCTTCTGAGCAGATTACTGAGCCTGAAGACAAGGACGGTTCCTCTTCAGCTGCTGATGTTATTGCACTCCCCCACATCTATGTCACTGCTCCGATAGATGATACGGATGAAGAGGCTTCACTGTCTGGAAATTTGGCTGAGACGGCTGACAAGTCGACCGAGCCGATCCAGGCGACTGCTTTTGAGGAGTCGGCTTGCAGCCCTTCGGCGATTCTGTCGATGCCAAACTCAACTCTTTACCCTTCGCGCCTATCCCGCGACGAAGAGGCTAAGTTGGTCGCTATGCATGTCGGTCCCGTCGTAATGCCGATCATTGAAGCTAAGCAGCAGAAGCTTAGCAAGGCTGAAAAGAAGGCCGCAAAGACATCTGAGGCATCTAAGGAGGTGGCTACACTTGACTCTGAATTGATCCAGGAACTTCCGGAACCTGACACTGTCGATACTACGATGGATATTGTTGAGCCCGTCGTCACAACCGAAGAATCCGCATACGTCGCGACCATTCTAGCAAGGCCCAATGGCTCTGGTATGACCACAGAGACTCGCGACCTTCACGAAAAGCTCGTCGCGCTTCATGTCGCTCCACCCTCGCTGCCAGTCACTTTTCACAAGCAGCAGAAGACCAACTGGAAACCTACCAAGGCCAACCTCCAGATGCCTACTCCGGTCGAGAAGAAGGAGCCTGATTTTGTCGCCTCTCTTCTTTCCAAGCCTAACGGCCCAGGTGAGACCAAGGAGGCGCGCGACTATCATGAGAAGCTGGTTGCGCTTCATATTACTCCTCTCTCACTACCAGTCACGTCGCCTAAGCAGCAAAAGACCTCAAAGATCGAGCAGAAGGCTAGTAAAGTTAATAAGAAAAAGTCCGTCGCTACGGAGAAGAAAGAGCGTGACTTCATCGCCTCTCTTCTCTGCAAGCCCAACGGTTCGGGTGAGACCAACGAAACTCGCGACTTTCACAACAATCTTGTGGCTATGCACGTGGCACCACTTGAATTTTCGGTTTCCTTACAACAGGATAAGGATAAGAAAGCTGGGAAGGCCAACGAGTATATTGAGACTTGGACCGCTGATCCTGATGCCGTTGATGCACTGATCGCCAGCATGGTGCCTCCCATTACTGAGGAGCCTATCTCTGCTGTTGAGGAGCTGGGTACAGAGGATGCAACGCGCGAGGAACCGTCCATCGTCATTACGACCCCCATCCAGGGGTTCTGGCAAACTGTTCTTTCCAAACCCACTGCCGACGAAGCCACCACCGTTTCGCAAACAGTAATCATCCCCGACTCCGCCCCAACCACCACCCCTCCCACCTCCTCCTACTCCGACTCATCCTCGGAGTCCGATACCATCAAGTCATACAGCTCCAGCCACTCCACCCCCTCCATCCTTCGCGCAGCCTCAAAAGCACGCACAACCTTCCTCGGCGCCACATCCCTAGAAACCTTCATAAACACGCTCGACTTCGAACTCTGGGATGGCACAACGACCAAAGACGACATCTGCGAGGCCTTCGCCTCCTTAGCCAATCACCCCGTAACCACTGGTCTGGACAAGCCTAAGATACAGCGTAAAGTCAAGTTGGGTAGTACTTCGCTATACGCGTTCCTTCGTCAGATCACGTTCATGGAGGATGAGGTGACGATTGTGGGGGAGGTGATGAAGGTGTTTAGGAAGGCGGCGGGTGAGCAGGTGACGTCTCCGAAGCTGGAGGTTGCGCTGTGGCTTGCGGAGGAGACGGATGAGGGCGAGGGTAGGAGGCGGGGGAGGCGCTCGGAGCGGGCTTCGATGGCTGGTGGGGTTTAGATGCGACGTTGTGTCGGTGGTCTGGATACTCACGATGTGGCGTGAGCAGTTTGGCTGCTCCTTTCCTTTTCTTTCCCAAAAGTTCTGCATGGGTATTTTTCATTGTCATTGTTATGGGGCGGATTATCATGGTATGAACGAGCGAGGCGTTGGGGACGGCGTTTTCATATTACTATCATCGCTCTAGGGTACCTAAGTTAGTCCTCCACATCGGTTGAGCTTTAGGCTTTGACTCACCTGGCGCCGGGTTTGAGTTGGCTTGTCGCTCCCTACTGTGCAGAATGGCTTAGTTACCCCAAGGGGCTGATGAGCTTTCGGTCGGAGTTACCATTCGTCTTAGGCGACATGGGTATCAATTCATTTGTAAAAGTTTGCATCGTGACGGGAATGAAGTGAAAGCAATGCGATCGTACATGTAGCAGATGTAGTTTGTTAGTATAGTGAGAGATTGTTAGACGTGCGCATGCATGAGAGGAGGACTTTGTGTTCATGACTTCATTCATATACATCCAGCAACACTATTGATGTGTGCGATGCTATATACAGGGTATTCGTACGACTGCCGCAGTGGCTTAGACCTTCTGCTCCACACGGTGGGTCTGCTGCTCAGCACCACCAGCATTCTCCATCTGGTACTCAACAGCTTTCTCACCCGACTCATCCATAATCTCAGCCATGCCACCAGATCCCTTGGTAAGCTCGGCACCCTTGCGACCAATAAGGTGCCAAGGAAGGTTGAACATCTCGTCGAGAGATTCGAGCGACTTTCCAGAAGTCTCGGGTAGGAAGAAGTATACCCAGACGAGACCGACGGCGGTGACGCAGGAGAAGAACAGCATAGTGCCTCCGTGGGTCATGGAAATGAACATGAGAGGTACAGCCTTGGAGTTACCGTACTGGTTGACAAAGTGGAATGTCATGGCGATGGAACCTCCAAGAGCACGGAGACGGAGAGGATAGATCTCGGAGTTGATGAGGTACTGGATCGAGTTCCATCCTAGCGCCCAACCGAAACCGGAGAAGTAGATCATAACGATGGCACCCATGGCAGCGTGCTTTTGGCTGGAGCTCTGGGGTACGCCATCCGCGACACCGGTGTCGATGAGTAGGAAGATGGCCATGTAGAGCATGGATAGGAGCTGGAGTGTGATACCGGTGGCGAGAGAGCGCTTGCGGCCGAGGAAGTCGATCAGGAAGAAGGCGCAGATCATGGAACTGACAAACTTGACGACACCGAAGATGGCGGTGGCGAAGAGCTTCTCTTGTTGACCGCTGGTGCCCATCATCTCAAAGTACTTGGGAGCGTAAATTGTGATGGAGTTGGCGCCCGACCACTGCGATAGCAACTGCGACAGGACAGAGAGCTGAAGACGGTAGAGGTTGGCCTTGCTGGAAAACAGCTCACGGATGGGCCCGAGCCAAGATGTACCCATAGTGGCTTCGCGTTCGCGGTTGAGTTGATCGTTGATGTCCATAATCTCCGAGGTGACATAAGGGTGGTCGGCAGGAAGGTTGCGGAGCTGTGCAAGGTTGACGAGCGCGTCCTCGTGGCGGCCGACCTTGATCAACCAACGAGAACTCTCCTTGGCGAACCAAGAGAGGGTGAAGATGAGACCGGCAAACATGATGTGCATGCTGTTGGGTACGAGCCATTGAGCATCAGTGGCAGACGAGATGTGGATGGAGGAACCCCAGGATGCGAAGTAGGCAAGCATGATACCGATGTAGACTGAACCAGCGAAAGCGCAAACACAGAGACCACGGATGGCCCTGGGCGCGGTCTCAGCCAGGTAGGTAGGTGCGACGACAGTGGTTTGTCCGATGCCGATACCAGCAATGAAGCGACCGGCGTAGATTTGTCCAACGGAACCAGTGATAGAGCTGGTGAGGAAAATGACGATGCCGATAACCCAGACAATGCAAAGTTGACGAGTAGCCCAGAGACGACCAATCTTGTCGGTGATGAAGAAGGCGATGAGGGAACCCAAGATGGAACCCATCTGCACCATGGATGTGATGTTCGATAGGAGCTCCGCGATCTCGTGCTCGCTCTTGCTGCCGTCTTCTTCGAGTCCGAACTTGCGTTTGAAGGGGTCGAGTTCGGCCGTAGTACCGATGAGGCCTTCGTCGATACCACGAGCAGCGCCCATGAGACCGAAGACTACGACGAGTTAGTTGAGTGTAGTCTCATGGGAGATGAGATGACCTACCGAAGACACCATACCAGAGACGCCAGTTAAGGCTCTCCTTGGGAGTGTGCTTCAAGTTCTCCTTCCATGGGTTCCAAACGACCATGATGGGCGATATTGGTATAGGTAGATTGGAGTAAGGTCGTGATTGAGCTGCGGAACCTACGTCTGTCGGACAGGGAGGAAAGGCAGTGACGACTCAACTGTACAAAGGCGCATGTGCCTCTTATACTTGAACTGATGGTGGGGTACGAGATGCGGAGATCCTAGATGCAAGGCCTGCTAAATCACACCATCCATGAGACCCCAGAGTCGACCCCGGAAGCCTCTACTCCACGTTTGTCCATCGCCAGTAGCGGTCGGCGTCGGTCTTCCGAGCCAGGAATGCCGGATGACCTTCCCAACTGTGGTTTTCCCAACGTTCAATAGGTCGACCCGTCTCGTCGGCCATTGCAGGCGTTGGAACTAACCCTCGCGCAGTAAGCGGACCGCTGATCGTCTGATCAATTACCGATCAAGCGGCCACGCCGGTCGCCTCTCGTGGTTCTCACGGCAGCGCCATCTGCACGTAGGTTACATGCCCAGTAAGGAGGCGGAAAGGTTGGCAGGCTTAGGTGGAGAAAGCTTCCTTGTTCGTGCGTCTTGTGGAGCTTGGGGCCGAGCTAAGGACGAGTCAAGAACCTGGCCACCACACGATGGGAACCCCGCATTATCCCCCAAACGCTCTCGTGTCCCGGATTTCTCTTAGTCTCCCACGTTAGCTGTCAGTCGAGGAAGAGAAGCTTGTCAAGCTCCTCGTAGCGGCCGGGGAGGTGCCGTAAATGCATGCCGCGCTATTGGCTGGTACCATCCCGGGAAAATCTCGCACGCGGGATAAATTACTACGCTATTCTGACGCTGCCTCGCGACGAGACCGTTCGCCGGCAGAATTATGACCGAGAGGAGCGTCGGAGCAGGGTGTCGGCTTCTGAGGTTAAGCTCCTGGACGAGACCTCGTCTCGCGGCGGTGTGTCGACACAAGCGATGCGGCTCCAACTCCTTCAGCCTTTTCCAGTAGCGCCCGCGTTGTGACTACCCCAAATGGTATCCCGTCCCTCCAATGCATATGCCGTGTGGACTACACACTATCGGACATAGATACGGCGCCTGCAGGATATTGTGGCAGAGCTAACGGTGCGCAGGTGTGAAAATGTGTCGCTTCTTCGGTCGCTCTGGCGCTGATACGCGTCCTGGTTGTCGGTGCCTCTGATGGGTCGTAGGACAATGATCCGACTCTTGGCTCTGTACTTGGCTCTGTACCCCAAAGTCCAGCAGGAAGGTTGTATTCTGCCGTAGTGGCAGCTGGATCGTTGAACCCACAACGGCAAGCATAACATCTCCAAGCGCTTTGTTATCTTGACGAAAGCCCAGACCGCCGGGGTTCTGCTCGTCTCCACAAAGCTTTGCATTCGCAGTGCATCTTGTCATGCGATGCGAAGAAACAGACAGGTCTAGAGGTGTGATACGTCCACCACCCCCGGTCGGAGCTCCGAGGGTTATCGGTGCGAACGCAGGCGCTTTGACTTGGGGTCTCCACACACACAAGGGTGCGCGTGAGATGGTTAGCGAAGACCAAGATTGCCATGCCTTCACCAAGTGCTTGTGAACAGCGCAAGCCGTTGTGCCAAAGGGCGCCCAAGTGCTTGTCCTAGACGTCAACAGAGCAACATCGTTGCTGCATCGTATCTTTCGTAGGCATCATCGAAGTCATGCCCTCTCCTCTAAGGCGCTGCGATAAATTTGAGAATCATGCGGGCATCCTTCTGGTCCACAGCGGGCGAGATTGATCGGCTGGTCGGCGATGCCAGTGGGTCTAATCCTTCCTCTTATGCATCGTGTATACAAACGGCTACCGTCGAAGCCACAAGAATCCAAGTGTCGGTGATTGCCGTGCATGAAACATCTACTGATGTGGTGTTATGTTCAATCCGCATTGCCGGCCAGGTCGCCCTCAACAGACATTGGCTTTCGTTCAACACATCCATACAGATATCGTGTGCGTATGTCCGCGGGCGGAGGTGTTGGATGATCGGGTGGATACGGACGCTGACAAACGCCTCTGAACTGATTAGCCGCCTTGGAAAGCATATGGGGTGGAAAGCACGCACTTACGAGCTCATTGTGGGTATCAACCAAGACGGACCAAGGCGCCAATGTTGGGGATAAGACCCATTTATACGTCTTGTAATCACAACAACTGATTCAAGCCGTGCGGAGAAATGAGACCCGGGGTACGAGGTTCACATGTCACTTTGACTGGACGCCTGAGGGGTCCAGTACGGTTATCCGGGACTAGTTGTGGGGAGAGTGTGACTGAACGTTAGATCTGGGGTGATGGGAGAATGTCGGTGTGTTGGCAGCGAATGGCACGGCGAGATGTTTGTAAGTGGCAATTAAGCGATGAAGCACGTGTTGGTGTTGTGCCGTGGCCCCGATGGAAGTGACGACCAGGGAGTAGGCGCGATGGAGTGAAGGACAATCTGAGGCAGGTGCGATAAGACCACGGCTGCGCAACAGTGCGCAAGGATCCGCACATCATGCCTGCAATTCAGAATTTGGGTATTTGTAGTTGTTTTTTCTATACCTAAGCTACCTAGGTATCGAATCAACTGCAGCATCATTGACAAGGCGATGTTGTGCCGTGATGTCGACATCGAAGCCGGGATCCCGGAAAAGGCAACCGCGGACCTTCTGACACGTGCCTCGCTCAAAATTCCTCTCAATCCTCCTCAGAGTCCCCCTCAGCATCTTCTTCCTCCCCCACAAACCTAGCCCGCTTACTCGGACTAACCTCACCACCATCCTCGCGCCCTCTCTTCTCAACCCTAGGAGTATCTTCCTGCTCCTGCGCCCACAGTGCCGCCTCCAACTCCTCTATCAAATCCACATCGTCAGCTTCACCCTCCCCTTCAACCTCTTCCCTATTCCTAGACTTCTCTATTGCCATCTCTAGGCCCTCGTCAACCCTTGACGCGCGCTGTCGGTAGCAAACGTTGCCGTTCTTGACATGCTCATGGTATCGCTTGCACCATGCGCCCTCAGTGCTCTCTTCGATCTTCAGTGTGAGGTTGCGTCGGACCATGCGCAGACTTGTTTGCATGATGTCGAAGAGGAGCTCGGGGTGTAGATGGAAGCCCTTGCGCGTGACTTTCCCGATGATGCGCTCGGTCTTATCGCCGCTCAGGGCGAGTGCATCAGCCCAAAGCAGTCTCGCTCCACACCTAGGTGATGTATACGTGTAAAGCAAGTTGAGGAGGTCAGTATGGACTGACGTAACATCTTTGTCAAGTTCAGGGTCCGTGACCTCCAAGTCGTAGTCTCTAGGAAACTGATCAAACTCCGCTGGGATGTTCTTGCCCTTCCGCCACGCCTGTTGTGCGACTCGCTTGCGCCGATTGAGCGCTCGGTTCGGGAGCCAGATTTCCTCCTGTTTCTCTTCCTTTTCTCCGTCCTTTTCCTTGTCTTCTTCTGCCTTTTTGCGCTTATCGTGGAATATGCGGATCCATGTGTCGGCAACCATGTCGCAGAGATCCCAGAGCTTCTCTTGGTAGCAGACAATGTAAAGTTGGGTAAGGGTATTGGCGCTGTAGGGTAGGGCCTGATATGGGTTGGCGGCATCGGTGAGGCCGGGAAGGTCGAGGTGGATCTTGGCGTTGCTCTTGAGGTTACTCAGAATGGAGTACACATGTCGGTCTGCTATGAATGGGGGAGGTTCTGCAGACGATGCATCCGCCCTGTCTTGTTCGTCTGATTTGCTAGCGGCAGCGCCAGACGGCTTGTAGCTCTTGGGTGGACGACCTCTTGGCTTTGGTGTCTTTGGTGGCTGCTTCATCTGCTCCTGTGCCTTGTGTGTGGTGTATGCTGAACTAAGGTCAGCAATCTGGGCTCATAATACAAGAGAAATAATCACTCACATGGATCAGTCTCGATGGATCCTCTGCCATCGTCTCTAGCATCTTCCTCGGCCTGATCAATGAATGCATCGATCTCGCTACCCTGAGCGGCGTCGTACTGGTTTGGCTTTTGGATCGCTCGTCCAGTGCGAGTCGTGACCGGCGCTGCCTCTACGGATTGCTGAGGAAGGTCGTCGTCTTGATCTTCGCTCGCGCCATATCTAGGTGTCGCATGGCGCTGCTGCGCTGGGCTATCCGATCTTCCCACCGACGGCTTCAACAGTAGCTTGGGTCCCGGTCTATCGGATTCAGCTTCTGGCGCCGGTGTCGCTGACTTCGAGGCTCTGCCTTTCGGTCGGCCGCCACCACGGCTACCACCTTTGGCGCCACCACGAGGACGTCCTGCTGGCTTTCCCGTCGTCACTGTCTTCTGTTTACCCATTGAGCTGTCGACGAAGACTTTTCGGCTGATGCAAATCTGCGACGAGATCGATAAGTCGCTAAGTATGTGGTCGGTCTGCGGTTGAGAACGAGGGAGTAGTTGCGTTGGTGTTGCAGAGTCTCAGTTGTAGGAGATAGAACCTACGATTACTTTCGTAGCCTAGTCTGCTGAACGTAGTGAAGGTGAGCGATTATCGCCCGTTGCGTCTGGCAACGCTAGGCTACCGAGACCGTAGAACAATAGAATGAGCAGGCATCTGACCGTATTGAGAATATTAAAGCAGCGCAACTTCGCTCGCATAGTGAATACCGAATAGGCGTAGGAGCTTGCGCGCTCTCTAAGTGAGAGTGAGATACTAAGATCCACCAGGTACGTCATCAAGATGATCGGTCGTGCGCTTTCATCACAAACGGTATTGAGAAGATGAGAAATTGGCCTGCGCCAGTCCATAAGAATGGAGTGTTCCAACAAAGTCTATCATGTGCAAAGAACCAAAAGATAAACGAAGAATGCGACCAACAACAAACCTAGAAACCGAATTCAGCCCCCGGATCGGGGTAACCTTCGCGTCTAAACTCCAACTCCTTCTCCTTCGCTTCATACCTTGTATAAAGCCGTTCAGCTCTCAAGACGCACTCCTGACAAAATATAACGCCGGAGTCCTTGGGAAGAAGAAGCGATAGATGATGGTCCAGGCAGGACTTTTCGGACTCACAGTTCTGACCACAAGGTTGCTGAGTAACACAGTAGACCTTGTGGCCACAATGTAAATTGTGCTCTTGGAGATCTGGATTGGGGAATGGTGCCGCCAATAGGGTCTCGACTTGGTCATTCGGGATCTGGAGAGCCGCTACGATTTCTCCGCGTGTGAGGGCGAGAGAACGTCGACGGTACTTCTGGAAGAGGTAGTGGTCTACTGGGATGCCCTGGCAGACTTCGCAATAGAGCGGTTCTTGACGCAACGAAAAGTCATTGGGTCGGATACTTATGTGCCTTGGACTAGGAGAGGACGAGTTAGCGATCGACAGAAATTAACAGCTTCGTCGATAACATACGCCGTGGGGGACTTTAGGATAGTCTCTGAGAACAGTGGGTTGGCTCCATTTATGGGGTATCGGCAGTTGCTACCGCATCTCGTATCCGGCCCATCGATAACGACAACATGGCCGCAGTCGAGGAGGTGAAACATGTTCGGCGCGGTTCGACCGTGGTCGTCTACAGTGCCGCTACATGGTCTGATCATCCGTATCGCACTTGTGACCCTCTCGACGCTGTCCTGTGGTGTGTCCCGCTTTTGTTGCTCCGTTAGAGCTGGACCCCAGGGCATATTGAAGATAGCGTGATGGTAGATAGCGAGTACTCGTGATGGTTGACAACTATAGAAGAAGATTTTCCTAGTATAATCGTTTGTCGAGCGTCCAGTAGCGATATTGATAAGTGCTTTGCGGGGCGGTTGTCTAGACAGCCGAGTGACCACAAGGTACAAACGCGCCTATGGAGAACGTGAAAGTGAATCGAAGAAGTGGAAAATTAGGCAGCAAGTCCGAGCTCCCCAACAATACTCCTGCCTCCAGTTTCATTTTCGCGACAGCTCTTGACTGACTTTCGAACACCGCCGGAAGTCGCAATGGCAGCGAACCAAGAGGAATTCGTCCGCATTGGCCTGCGCGCGACGACAAGCAGCGATGGTACACCGACGCTGTGTGCAATCTGTCTTGATGAGCTACAGTCGGACCAGGAGGTCGACGAGATTCGTCGTTGCGGCCACACTTTCCACAAGCATTGCTTGCTGGCCTGGCTCAACTCATGGAACACACAACACAGCAGCTGTCCAAACTGTCGCCTGCCGCTCTTTCCGAGTCGTCACCCTCTAACTGTAAGCATTGTTTATGAAGGCAATCCAGGCGCATTCGCTAATCGTGGCGACACAGCCACCCCCAATTGGTGTCGATGAACAAGGAGATCTGGCGGGCCTATTCACGAGCTTAGACGAACTAAGTAACACCGTGTCCATGCTGGGAGACACGGTGGTAGCTTTTCGCAACCACAACAACTTACTCCTGAGCGAGCTTAGGCGCCATAACCTTGATGTTCCTGATGCATCGCCAAGCGACCCTCGATTCCGACGTGCGTTAGAAGCCGTTCACGAGTTGAAACCGGTGCCTTCATGTATCATGCCCGACCCGGCAACAGGCGAATACACACCTATAGAGGAGCGTTATCGCAGACTGAAAATCTTGGAAACAGACCGAATTTCCGGCGTCGCTCTCGAGGACCGCTGGAGGAATCGCTCTGCGTTCGTGCGCGACCTGGAGCGATTGGAGCAGCTTCGTCTCCATCTTGGTCCCCAACCGGCTTCAGACAACCGTCCCGAGCCAGGTCTAGACCAGACAAGGTTGCTTATCGAATATGGCGCCCTCTTGAACAAACTCATGCCTGACAACTGGCACTTCACTCCCGACGAGACCGGGGCTATGCGCAGCGAATGGCTAAGGAGTGCTGTTATTGGCAGCTTTGATCGGGAGCTCCTGCAAGAGACAAGGTTGTTCTCACTTCTCTCGATCGCAACTGAGAGGGACACCAGGCAAGCGCTTGAGGGTATTCCGGAACGAGCAGTAAGGTTCATGCTTGGAGACTACAGACACAATTGGTTTGTGAATGCAGGCATTTTCCGTCACTACATGGCCAGCGAAAGCCAGTTGGGTGGATCATCGACTGTCGTACCTACACCACAGGCGTTCATGGTAGAACGTCCAGCACGACAGCGAGAAGTGTCTTCGTCGCGTCCGGGCGAAGGTAGTAGATGGCAACCCGGTATGTCGCCGTTCAGATCCTCGGCCGCTCAGAGCCAGAGTATGAGAGTTAGTTGGTTCGATGAGATGCCGCGTGGAGCCAATGCAGAAGCTCTGCTTGACCCGGAGTATCTCCAGTGGCGGCAAGAGCAGGGTGAACCGTCAAGATTCAACAGTCCCAGAGCCGTGGGAGGAGCAAGCCGTACCATGAGTGCTGAACCTGTCGCTGCACAACAACAGACCCGGCCCGTCGTCAATGGGGGTAGCAGTACGTTCACACAACTGCCTCGTACACCGGACATGGACGAACTTGTGCGACCACCCCAGAACAGAGAGCCAGATATTCACCCGGAGCAGATGAGTCAGCGAGGAGAAATCCATGAGGCCGTCTTCAGCGAGCTGCAACCGCTAATCCCTGGACCCCAAGCACAAACAGAGGCATCCAGACAGTGCCCTCGCCAGGCCATTCACGACCGCAGCGTGCAGACCAATGCGAATGCCATGGGTGCTCGGATGATTCGCATATTCCGACATACTCTTCATCGACGCCGGTCAAGGTAGAAGAATACATTGCGAACGGCGAAGACAGAAGTCGTGAGGGAGACATGGAGGGCGTTTGAGTGAGGAGTCAAATGCGTGAGCGACAGATGGGATCAGAGAAAGGCGAGGGACATGAAGGTATAATGACCTGCAATGTTCGTGCAGAGACAAATTCCAATGCAATTAAGACCTCGTGTTCAGTGTTTGATGTTGACCTCAGGCGGTTGTACCTAGGTGGTGATGTGTGAAGCATGCCGAGGGGGAAGTTGGATGACTGAGCGGATGACTAAGCCACCCGCTGCAAACACGCCAAACAGCAGGGAAGGCGGGTGTTCGCTGATAGGTGTAGCCCGCAGCTATCACACCTCACTCACCCAGCGCGCCTGCTCGTCTAGTCTGCCTCGCCATTTGGACTGTGCCTGCTAATGGAGACGCGGCTGCTGCTCCTACAGGACGCTGGACTCGCTGGGGGTGGCTCATAGCCCGCAATTCCGAAAGGTACCCATCCAATTGTCCCGCCCCAGCATGCCACTCTCGTCGGCTATCGCGAAACATCCCGCCCGCCATGTCTGACGGCGGCCCTGGACATCCCCAGGCGCCGTCTCTTCCTGCCCACGACGTGTCGCCGCTGATGGGCTCGCTCTCTAATGTGCTCGCAGGAACTTCTGACCACGCCGGCCACAGGTTGCCCACCATTCAGCCTGCATCGCCGCCGAACAAAGGCGCGCCGCACGCTTCCACGACGCCCACGCGCCCTGCCTTCTTTTCCGTAGCCAGGGGCCACCCACATGCGACTGCCGTTGCCAGCTCTGGCTCCTCGACTACCGAATCCTTCTCCGAGTTGACGTCGTCGTCGTCACGGGACTCGCTTCCCAATCCCCCCGGGCGCAACGCCCCTACCACGCCCCAGAAACAGGCGCGCACCACCAGGCGGAAACACTCAAACAAGTCCACGGGCCGATGGAGTAGGGGAGGCGGCTCGTCAGATGATACCGGCTCCGACCGCAAACCACCCACCTCGCAGCCCGTAGAGCCCGCGCAGAGCGCTGCTCGCTCACCCACGACTGCGTCCAAGACGCGCCAGCAACCCACTATTGCTACCAACAACGCCTCGAAGAGCCAGCCGCGATTCATGGCAACAACCTTTGGCGGTCCTTCGGGTGATTCGCGACGGGGAGTGGTCTCTCCTCGCCCTAAGGGACGCGGTATGACGCAGCCACACCTTATACACATGTCATGTCTGACTGGCCTATGCAGAAGCGAAGAACACCCTCTGCCGCAATGTCACCATCTACGGACATTGCCGGTACGAAAACAGTAAGTGCTGCTGGTCGCACCTGTCGAATCCTGTGGTGACCCTGTCTAGCCTGCCCCTACATCCACGACACCCTCAAGCTGGGCCAGAACGAGAACGCCAAAAAGAGATTCAATGTCGACTCTCCCTCCTTCACGCCTCTGCAGGCGAGTACCAACGGATCTGTGACCCCGTCCTCTCGCAGTGCCGCCATCTCGCCCAAGGCGGCCAATGCTGCCGTCTTCACTCCCAAATCGCAACGCTCCGGTGAGTCCTGAGCATTCGCAAATGACTTCTATATGCATGCTGATCGTCTCAGCCGTCACCACTCCGCATATGCACGCGAAAGAACCCGCCATTGATTGGAATTCACA